CATAAATTTAAATTTTTCAATAGTATGTCCCTTTTTGCAACATTAGTAACAAAATAACCTATGATAAGAATCACTTATGCTATTAGACTCCTTCTTGATCAAGTTATAATTTTTATGAGGCTTTTTCAACCTTTGAGCATTTAATAGCAATAGTATCAATAGGATGGTGTATTCTGTCCAATTTGGTTTCAAGATTACTCACTTTTTCCAAATTTGACATGTTTCACATCCATATTTACAAGATTGTTCATCCTCCTTTACATAATTTGAACTCTCTACAATGAGTTTCTTTAATGCTTCAAATTTTTTATTTGTTTCTTCAACCCTGGCCCCTAAATAAGTAAAAGTATTTTCTTGAGAGGCCAACTTTTTGTTAGCATATAAAGTCTCTTTTTGTAGATTTTAAATTGATTCTTCAAACTATTAAAAGACAATTTTGCAACATTAGAGTATTTAGAATGACTTACATCCTTTTTCTTTCCTTGTCGATGATTTCCCATGAAACAATAGTTTGCCTCTTCTTCACTCTCGCTTGAGCTTTCATTACTTGAGACATCACTATCACTATCCCAAGCCACATAATCTTGTCTAGAAATTTTTGAGTTGTTTCGTTGGCCCTTTCCTTTATTCCTAGCAAGAGATGGACACTCCGGTTTATAATGACCCAATTTTCCGCATTCATAAAAATACCCTTTGAATTGTCCTTTTTGTTGTCTTCCTCTTTAAAGGAAGAGGATTGTATTTTAAATCTTGCAAGATTATTATCGAAGTGTTTTACATCATTCTTCTGGACGTATTGATTATGTCTCCTTATAAATAATCTCATTTCTTCATCCTCCGAGTTCTCTTCATTACTAGAGTCAATATCATTAGTAGGCTCATTCCTTGAGGACTTTGAACTTGAAGCTTTGAGAGCTTTAGACTTTAATACTTCCTCCTTAACAACCCCTTTTTCATTTTTCTTTTTCTCAAACTTCTTTTCATGTTTATCCAATCAATTGAGTTCTTGCTCATGTTCTTCTAAGTTTCCAAACAAAGCAGTGAGATCAAGTGTTGCAAGATTATTAGTTTCCTTGATCACGGTGACCTTTGGTTGCCAATTTCTAGTAAGACATCTCAATACATTTTTAGTAGCAATAGCATTGAAAATAAGATTGCCTAGTAAGTTTAAATGATTAATAAGATGTGAGAATCTATTTTGCATTTGAGCAATGGTTTCCTCTTGATTCATGCAAAAGAGTTCAAACTCTTGATTAAGTGTATTAATTCTAGCTTGTTTGACCTCTTTTGTTCCCTTATAGGTAACTTGTAGAGCATCCCACATAGATTTAGCGGTTTGATAATCGGAAATGTGATAGAACTCATCAACCCCAAGAGCGGATATGATGATGTTCTTAGCTTTTCAATAATGAGAACGCTTCTTATTATCATTCTCATCCCATAGGTTTTCTGGCTTTGGTACGGTTACACCATCAACAAGATATGTCACCTTTGTTGGACCATTTTGAATTGCTTCCCAAACACCTTTGTCATATGAGTTGACATGAACTTGCATACAAGCTTTCCAATAACTATAACTTTCTCCCGTGAAAATTGGGGCTCTTTTATAATCCCTTTTAGGTTCGTAAGTCATTTTCTAAAAAGTGTCAAAGCCGGAATGAATTGGGCTCTTGATTCCATTTGTTAGACGACGACAATGGTATCTATAGAAAGGGTGAATAAATACCCCTTTTAAAAATATCCAAATAAAATTTGGTTTCGAAAAAGTTTTATCAAAATACGATACATAAGCTTTTTCAAAATGTCGTCTATACGAACGCTTATTGGGAAGCTCGGATATGCAAACCATAGAACAAAAATAATATAGAACACGAATGATAATATTAATTGATAACTTTGAATCACTTTGCAACTTATTTACTGTTCAATGAAAATTACTTGCAAGGCTATTTCCAATGACAATATTAAAAGAACTAGTTGAATCAATTTATCAGACACTTGGTGTGTAAGTGAAATTTTAGAATTTTTCATTTGGTTGTGTTGATACACAAAACCACTTATAATCAAAAGTGATTATAAGCTATATCAACACTAGATTTAAAATCAAAAATTGATTAGGAGAATTCTTACAATCCAATTGATAATGCAATGCTATTTGATAAATTGATCAATGAAAATCAAAGAAAGTAAAAGCAAAAATAAAGAGACACAAGGAATTTGTCTTCATGGTTCCCCACTGTCGTCATCGCGTGTGGGTACGTTTGCATCTAATTCCAATGGAATTAGGATAATTCTTACTATGCAAAATCGTTGATACAAGAGAAGTGTTAAAGAGCAACTCCATAAACTCGGAGCTTGTTGTTGATTGAACCCCTTCTACTTTTTTTGATCTTGAGCAAGACCAAGAACCAATAGATGCAACCTATTTTCCCCTTAAGCTATTTCCTTGCAAAAATTTTAAACACTCCAACGGATTTCACTCGTGTAAAATCGATTGCACTCTATCAAACACAAGACTTTCGATTCTATCTTCCAATATTTGCTACTTCCTTGAAAAGATTTCAAACACTCCAAGGTTCCTTACAAAGGTTTCAAACACTCCAGGGTTCCTTGCAAAGATTTCAAACACTCCAAGGTGTTGAATGACAAACCCAATGTTTTTGCTTGGATAAAAATACCTACAAAACTCAACCCAATACACAATTAGACATTAACAATCCTTGTTTAGATGACACCCCAACAAAACATCTCTACAATGTAATGTCAGTGTGTATGCATAGGTTGGTGGTTGAAGATGATGAGAGAAATATGATACTTTTTATGGTTTTCAACAAATTGAAATAATGCATGAAAGAGTATTTATAGTTTTAGAATTTTTAGGACAAAGAGGGATAAATTTGGAATAAAAGAATTTAAAAAATTGACCAACTAAAACAGTATGTGTCGACACATATGTGTTTTTTAAACAAAATATATTGACTTATAAAGAGTCATGTGTCGACCGAATAATTACAGAAATTATAGGCTTTAAAACGATAGCAAATGTGTCGACCTAAAAAATGGATATGTCAACACATAAAATAAAAAATTTTACAATATCAAAAAACACTTCAATGGCAACGGCAGGTGTGGATCGAGGAAGGCCACGACCATCCCTATTATTTTCTTTTAAAATACTTTATATACGTATAATTTTTATAATAGGATTAAGATATTGAGATGTGAAGTAGGATTCATAATTACTATTTGGAATGTCATGGGTCCTCAAATCATACGGAAGACTACTTACTTTATCAATCTAGTATGTCTATATTTCACTATAAAAACTAGAATTCACTAATATAAAAAGTATATTACTCAATTATATTAATTAACATTTTATTAATAATATTTTTAATCATGTTTTTTTAAACTATAAATATATTAATTAATTTTCTTCTTAGAGATAAATTTTATTAAAATATATTTATTATCTAAAAATTTAATATTATAACTAGTGATTTTAATTTTTGTGATGTATTCAAGTAGTCTTAACAAATATAATAATTTATAAAGCAAATAAATACAATTGACAAATTTATTAGAGTAAGTAAATTCTATTAGTAAATTATATTAATTTATCAATTATCAATCTTTCTCAAAAACAATATATTTGAGTATTTCAAAATAATAATTAAATTACAAAATTATTTTTATCAAATATTGATTTATTCATCACTATTCACTACTATAAACACAAATAATAAGATATTAAGTAATATTAATTTTTAAACAAATTTTCTTAAGAAAAAATTTAGATGTATTTTCTTAGATGTGGTTTATGTTTTTTTCCAATAAAAATATGATAAAGGTATAATTTTCTCTTACACATATACAATTTCTTTATATTTTTCTTCTTAAAAGATATTTAAATATCTTTATCATACTCTTATTAGAGAAAAATATGAATCACACCTATAAAATTTTATATATATATATATATATATATATATATATATATATATATATATATATATATATATATATATATATATATATATATATATATATATATATATAAAATTTATTTCGATTGCCTTCTTAAATTTTTTATTCATCCAAAATATGAACGTGTCCACACATACAATAAAAAATTATATAAAAAATTATTTTTAATAATTTGAATTAATTTTAAAATATATTTTTATGATTTTTAAAACTTCTAATACATAAAAGTACCACAAAATATAATAATATCATTCAAAATTCAAAAATACAAACAAACTTTTTCCAATTTTAACATTATTCAAAATATTTTACAACGAAGTATGTACTCATAGTAACTATTGTACTTCTTATAAGCACAACATGCATAGAATTATTGCACTTGTATATCATTTGTGTCAAATATTAACAATATCATGTAAAAACTAAAGAAAGGCAACAAAAAAAAAAGTATTTTGTGAAATATGTCAAGTCTACCGTTTGAAATTTTACAATTTTGTTTAAAAAAATCTAAAAAAATAATAATTATTGTAAAAAATTTCATTTTAAATTTATTGAATAAATAATATATTTAAATTATATACAGATTAAATAATTAATTATTTGATAAGTTTAAAAAATAAAAAATGTTTGTAAAAGAGAATGGAAAGAGTATATTTAACCATTATAATCTATTTTGAGGGAAATTTATTAAAAAGGCATTTTATCAAAAAGGTAATAAGATTATTTCATTTGAAATATGGAGCCCGAAATGATCGGAAAATTTGTTTTTATCTAGGTTAAAAAAAACGGTATGTTGGTTTAGTTGCACAAAATAAGAGGAAAAAAGAAAAAAAAGAATGTGAAAACAAAAAAAGTCGGTGTCGTAAATGCCCTCCACTCTGACAGTCTGATATGCTCCCTTCTCTGGGTTTTGTTTCATTCACTTGTCCTCTCAATCCCCATTACCATGAACCTCATCATCATCACCAACTCTAACTCTAAATCAAATCTATAACAACACTCACACAAACATTATGGGCCAAGAAAACCACTTAACTCAAAAGAGAACAACCAGCGTCGGGGGAGTATTACCAACCACAACCTCCTCACGTAACCGATCACTCCCACGTGGCCGCCAGATCCAGAAAACATTCAACAACATCAAGATCACAATCCTCTGCGGCTTCGTTACCATTCTCGTCCTACGTGGCACTATCGGTGTTAATCTCGGCACGTCGCAGAACGACGCGCTCAATCAGAATGTTATCGAAGAAACCAATCGGATCCTCGCCGAGATCCGATCTGATTCCGATCCGGCCGATCGGAATCAGACCGAGACTTTCATGACTTTGAACGACACTTATGCGCTTGGTCCTAAGATCCGGAATTGGGATACCGAAAGGAAAACTTGGCTTCGGAAGAATCCTGACTACCCTAATTTTCTTAGAGGGAAACCCAGGATCTTGCTTCTTACGGGTTCGCCGCCCAAACCCTGTGATAATCCTATTGGGGATCATTATCTTTTGAAATCTATTAAGAATAAGATCGATTATTGCAGGTTACTCTTCTTTATCTTTACTAATCTTCAATGTTGTTTTTTTCCACATTATAAACATATCATTTCATTTTATATCAATAGTACACAATGGCCCTATGGTTCTGTTATGCATCTATATCTATGATTTGCTTCCAGGGAAAATATTCTCCAACCTAAATACCTAATGTCGTTAGGCTTTTAATGTTTTTCAAATTCATAAAGTATTAATTAAAGTGATAAATGTTGTCGACAGTAGAAGGCCAAGAATCCGCCATATAAACATGCCATGGCAGAATTCCTTCACTAATTTCCTATGGCAGTTGTGTCCAAAAATTTTCCATGCCATGCCATGACCGCCATTTAATAACACTGAAAATGCTTTAGTGGGATTCTTTTAGGAAATGAAGAATCAAAGAAAAGTCATGCTTTTCTGTTACATGTATCATGAATGGCAGAAAACGAAACACAATTGAATTAACTATATATTTTTTAAGAAATTTCATTCGTCCTAAATTGGTGTGCCCAGAAGAGATCCTCCCATAGTATTAATTTATGTGATTTTCGTAAGGTGGGTTTGGGACATAAAAATTGAAGTTAGGGAGGGAGAAAAGATGGAGTAGGTTTTGTTCTGCAGGTGTATCATCATTACATACAGAGGGACTTAATGTTCTAATGGTGAAAATAACGCGTATGATACAAGACCTACACCACTTGTTTACAGTAGAATTAGCCTATTTTAATATGTAGAATTAGCTGTTTGTATCTGTTTTTGGAAAATGAAATAATAAGTTTAGAAATAATTATTAATTTTTTTAATTATGAGTTGCTTTCAGAAACTCTTTTTTAATTTATCGATAAACGGCTCTTAGTTTCCAGAAATTTTTCCTGGAGTGAAGTAACTTGTTTGCTCTAAAATGCTTGAAGTTGATTTGAACCTGTGTATTATATTCTGATCTGTCATATGCTACTGCAGATTGCATGGCATTGAAATTGTGTACAACATGGCTCACTTGGACATGGAGCTTGCAGGTTACTGGGCCAAATTGCCCATGATTCGGAGGCTCATGTTATCACACCCTGAGGTGGAGTGGATTTGGTGGATGGACAGTGATGCTTTCTTCACGGACATGGTGTTTGAGCTTCCCATGAGTAAATATAATGGTTATAATCTGATTCTTCATGGGTATCCTGATTTGTTGTTCGAGCAGAATTCTTGGATTGCGGTAAACACGGGTAGCTTTTTGTTTCGCAATTGCCAATGGTCCTTGGATTTGCTCGATGCTTGGGCCCCCATGGGCCCGAAAGGACCAATTCGGGAGGAGGCTGGAAAGATTTTGACAGCAAATCTCAAAGGAAGGCCTGCATTCGAGGCTGACGATCAATCGGCGTTGATATATTTATTATTGTCAAAGAAAGATAAATGGATGGAAAAGGTATTTCTTGAGAATTCTTTTTATTTGCATGGTTATTGGGCTGGATTGGTGGATCGGTATGAAGAGATGATGGAGAAGTATCATCCGGGGTTAGGGGATGAGAGGTGGCCTTTTGTAACACATTTTGTGGGGTGTAAGCCTTGTGGGAGTTATGGAGATTATCCAGTGGAGAGATGCCTTAGTAGCATGGAGAGAGCTTACAATTTTGCTGATAATCAAGTGCTTAAGCTCTATGGGTTTAGGCACCGTGGATTATTAAGCCCTAAAATCAAGCGGATCAGGAATGAGACAATTACTCCTTTGGAGTTTGTAGACCAGTTTGATATACGAAGGCAACCTGCAGGCAAGATGGAATCAAGAAATTAGGTTAAGGTTTCAAATTGAAGTTTTTGATATTACGGTTGATAATTGCAGTCAATACAACCTCAATTGCTGTCACGACATTAGAGGATCATTGGGATTTGATTTCACCTGAAACATTCATGATGCGGTGGTTCCAGAAGGTAATTTAAAACCATGAGGAAAGTAAAACATGTCTTGGGTGGTAATGCATAGGCTATATTTATAAGTGGATATGATGCGAAGATGGTGAAACATGTAACTTTTTCTCTTTTGTTTTATTGTCTTGGTAAGTTAATAGGAACACCATATAGGATACAATTCTTTCTTCATACAAGTTGTTATTTTTCTGTATCATGTTTGAGTAATCAGTACTTTTTTTACTGATCAGCTGTATACCAAGCATCTTTGTGTGTTTTCCCTTCTCCGGCGCAAATTCATGGATTTATTCCATTTCCTGTTAAATTCAGGAATTTATTGTAACATGAGTGACCACTGGTTTCTGTTTCTGCTCTTAGCAGTGGTAGCACAATTGAAATGTTAATGTTCATGATTGAAGGGAAAGGAAACAAATATGTTTTTCAACTTTGTTAACATGATTGTGATGTAGTTTCTATTCAGCTATTTGGAAGAATGATTTTTTATGTTAAAAAGGTGTTTGATATGTAGTGGAATGATGTACTTTTGCTCCCAGGTCACCCATTTAATGTTGTAGTCCTATTTCTTCTAGTAAGTAACAAAGTTTCATGGTAAGAATTTGTATAAACATAGATAAATACATAATAGTAACTGCCAAATTTTAAAATTGAAAAAATAAATTAAAATGAACTTAACTCCAATAGAAACTTTTGTTGCTAGCAAGAAAATGACTTTTAGTTTTACAATTCCAATAATAATGGGGATTTAAATTACAACAAAATGAATTTTTTTAAAGCTAAAGGAAGTTTACTTTTAAAGCTAAAGGATGTCAAACAGTAGAAGTTAAAAAATTTAGAAGTGAAAATTAATTATTGAATAACATAATATTTTAACTAGGTTTATGAGTTTAGACTTTAGAGAGTAATATAATAATGATTTTAGTATGAAATTAAAGACATGTTTGTTTTAGCTTTAAAATAAATAAAAAAATTCTTTATATTTTTAAAAATAGATTTTATGAAATCGTTTTTAAAAATATTACAATTTTTTTTATATTCGTTTTTTTCTAATTTGAAACATTAATTTTGATATCCTATAACATAAATATATATTATTGAAGATCAAAATACAATCAAAATTGCAATTTTTTAAAAAAAAAATTATATTTTAAAATTGATTTTTATGAAAATCTATTTAAAATTGCTTCAAAATTAAGTGATCTTTTAAAATTTTGATATTCAAAAAAAGTTTCAATAAAACGATAAAATACCTAAAATAACATTTTAAGAATAACTATTCAATTTTTATTTGAAGCTTTTATGAAAAATTTCTTTGTAAATTTTATTTACAAACAATATAAAAATCATTTTAAAAAAATTAAAACAAACTGACCCTAAGCTGCATCAAATTCTCATTTTAAAAGAATTGTTAGATATAAAAATATTTAAAAATAAATAAATATTATTGCAAGAGGATCAAACTTGGACAAATAAAATTTCACCTATTCAATTCAACTAGCACATCCTCTCAGTTGAATCACTTCACCAAACTATCGAATTCTCATTTTCAGGTAATAATTTTAGAGGATTTTTTTTCATCATATAATTTTCTCACGCACCACGCGGAATTCTTAAAATATTCTTTAAAATCGAAAATTTATTTTCGGAACGCATCAACTATTGAGAATATGTAGACTAAAATCGGAAATTAAATTTCATTTTGTACCTGAACTTACATTTTCGGTATTGTGCTACAGAGAGCAGAAAAACAACATTGAATAATATCAATTTCACAAATTTAAAATACAATTCATCTCATAAAAATAGGTAATACATTAAGGATTGAAACATACATCAAACATTACACTTCAACATCCAGGTGGACGTTGCAACATCTTGATAATATCATCTATCGATCTCGAAACAGTCACATCTAGCTCGATTGTAACTTTCGCTTCAAAACGGGTAAAAGTATGCCACATAGCCCGTATATCAGCGTTGTTCCTCAGCTCACGGTTGACGAACTCAAGCTTTCCATCTTTGTCAGCGGATGACGAGTGGTACTCGATCTTCACAACTTTACGATTGTCGTTATAAGGTAGAAGGTTCTGCAATATGTCTTGCAGATCTTCAAGAGGGGTATATTCGATGAACTTAAATTCTCGTGATAGTGTATTACCGATAAAGTTGACATTTCCAACATGTCATTTGATGTTCATTCTGATTTTTGGTATTTTGGTATGAAATAATGTTGTCAAGTGAGGTTATTTATAGTAGTTGAAGATAAACATGGACGTTACAAATCCTATCCTTTGACAGAGTGTAAACCGGAAACTCATTTTCGATTCCACCCTAATACGTACTGGAAATGTATTTCCGATAAGCCCCCTGGGACTGAAAACCAGAACAGAAATAGAAACAAAACCATAATACATGTATTGAAAGATGATATATTTGGTCAAACTACAAAATAGTTATATTCCACAGCATAATACATTGACAAAATGAAATATACAATAAAATGACACCTAATTACTTAAATGATCCGAAATAATTATCGTCAGACAAATCCGCATATGCTACCCCTTTTGACTTTTCCCTATTTTTTTCTATTTCAATTTTGTTCAACTTGTCGTAGTCTTGCATCCTTTCAATAAATTGATCCGGCCAGGTCTTGAAAAGGATTGTGTAATCATTCGTCCACTGCAGTGATGTAAGTAGTATTGGGCATCCCGGTTTCAAATATACTTGAACAAAATACCACAGATTTGAAACCCACCCAACATAGATGATATGATCATTGTGATTTGGCGGTAGAGCAGTGTGCAGTGGGAAAAAAGTTTCTGAGAAACTGTATCTTGTAAGATTAATACACACTCTCTCATACGCACTTTCTATGAGATGACCCATTTCAGGGAAGCGCGTCCATTTATGCTCCGGCGCATGTCCACTAACGCAAGGTACTAACGCATCATAAATTTCCTCAACTTTCTCTTTAGTCTCGAGCACCTGTTTATATAATTCTCTATTTCTCCTCAACTCTCTGATAAGATTATTGCAAACAAGTTAGTGATCCTCTTCCCCTTTACCCAACAAACCAGAAACAGCCCAAAAACCACAGTTATTGTCACCACCGACATTGACGATCCATCCAATGTACTTGTGCATAAAAACCGACACCTCCTCGATAGATGATATTTTTGGTGGAGTCGGTTAGGAGATGGTTTTCTAATACAGACTCTTTTGAAAATACTTTTCTGAGATTTCGGAGTAGGTGAATCGTGAAAAACTTTGTCAACGTGTTCAAAATACGAAGGACTCCTCGTTATTGAATTATCGCCTGTTGTTAGTTTCACCTTCTTAGGTGCCCCTTTATTTTTTTACTGGTTGAGAGGGTGGTTTCAAGTCAGTGGTCTCCAGGAATGAAATCTTCCTCAGTTTCCCTTTGATGTGGAGTTTGGTGGACGCGTCTGTTTTCAAAAATCTTTCTTGTATCGCTTCCCATTCAGTCAAGATAGAGATACTTGATTTATCGTCTTTCATTTTACTGTCATCTTCAAAACTGAGTCTCTTTCAATGATTGGAGACCTCGTCTATACGTATCGGGAAATCAACTTTCATCTTCTTAGATATGACACAAGCACAAGGAAGTCCATATATTTTCACAATTGTGCAACCAAACTTTGAGATGTCGGAACCTACATTAGAAGCTCGCTTGACTTCATGAAAAAATGTAATTCAGAGCTGACCGAGAGATGATACCGACCAACTAAGAATATAGGGTGTCATCTTTGAACCCGTGTTCTAACATCGTGATACTTTGATCAAATATTGTTTTATCTCATTATGTTTGTTTAGTATCATATGGTTCACAGAATCTCATTCCGTAATCAAATCGCCCTTGCTATTTCCCATTCAATTCTTCATACATGGATGAGCAGACTCAACTCAGTTTGTTGTTGTATTTTACAGGTGTATAACTTGATCGGTCCAGGCACAAAACAATCTTCTCCTTTAACTAATCCAATATTATACTTTCAACATATTTCAATAGATTGAGATGACACACACAAACCTTCCTGAAATGTAAAACAACATCAACATATAACTCTTTTATAGATGCATTTATTATAACATTATATGCATCCATAATTTTCTACATAATAACGCCCGCATTAACCAATTTTCCATTTTCACCTGCAATTTATTTTGTCCTACCGCGGGTTTAACCCGACTTCTCATATTATTAGTAATTTAGTACCTATAAAGTAGTGTATAAGAAGTGGGAAATACCGTTGCAACCGAATTCATTAATGTTGTATCTCGGTCGGTAACAATGACTTTCGACATATCTTCTTGGTCCTTCAATATTGACCGACAAACCTCTAAAGCACATGCAAAATTGTCCTCTTTTTCGCACTCTAGAAATGCAACCCCAATCGAATACATCTTCTCAGTTGATGTAACACCAACAATGAAAACATATACTTGTTGGTCTTATACGTTGAATCAATTATGAACACGGTGGAAAATGTATTAAACAATTTAATAGAATCAGGATGAGTCCAATAAATATCTCTTACTGTTACCCTATTCCCACATCTTCGGTGCCTACAAACATAATTGTTTTCATCTAGAAGTTTCAAGAGGTGTTGCATTTCGGTTCGATCCCTCCCAAGCGTTAATTTGGATAAATAACGCCTATTGTACACTTGCTTGATATTTGATGTATTCCTGGGTCTTTTGCGCTTCAAGGTTGCAAGTATGTTTTGGGGCGGTACCAAATTCAATGTCATGTCGGAAACACATGTCTTCTCATCCAGAAGGAGTCGACATGTAATTGGATGGTCGGCTAACCTTAGACTTAAATCATGATTTTGTAAACCACATATGATATTAAATCTCCATTTCTTATTTGCCAACAGATAACCACACAACTTAAATGGACATTCACATTTTCTTGAACCGGTGTCGTCGCGTTTCAAATTCTAGGTCTGGTGCATATATTTCTCACTTCTTTCGCATGTCAAAGTCACAAATGCACATCTTTTATCCGTACCATTATCGGGCGTTCTAATCACAACACTAAACTCTAGTTTGGTGGCTTCTGTACGAATCCACTACAACATGTCTTCATGTAATTCAAACTCTTTAATTCTAAAATGGTCATGAATATCTACCGTCTTAGTTACGAGAGGAGATACGAGAGGTGAAACAACTCGAGACACGTTAGGTTTGAGAATGTTATCTAGATGCACCATACGTAATGTGATAAAAAAATTAAACTAATTAATACACAGTTATTAGAAAATTAAGCACATTCATGAATCAGAAATACATTTCCGGTTTAGTTCAACTACTAACCAAAAATTCATATCTGATATTAGCGTAACCTTTTTCAAGAAAAGAATCAAATTAATGTGAAAAATGAAGATTGAAATGAATAAAGTTTATCTTAAATTCTATTTTCTTGAACTCCTTTTGATATGATGAACCACAAAAATGAAGATTTAGAGTGAAAAAATAGATTGAGAATAGAAGAATTTTTTAGAGGGTTTATGGAAAGAAGAATGAGGATGATCATCCTTCAATATGTTGGTTACTATTTTAAGCAATTTGTATTTTTCATAATACTTAAAATATATTTCCAATAATATATAAAATTGACAAGGTAGCAGAAAAGTCAATCTTCCCGCTATACAAATCGAAAATAGAATATTGTTTGTGTGTGATGTAACCGAAAGTATAATTTCAATCTTATTTTTCTCTTTTAAATATGATGAAATCACATTTGATCTCTTTAGTCTCTTTATGTATGATATATAGTACACACCGAAAATATTATTTTCTTTGTGGAAAATGAAATTCTCAACTTTATAATGATACTCCAATGGTTGGTTCATCGGTTAATGAGTGTGAGGGGTTGAAAGTAGTAGCATGTTTTATTTATTTTTCATAATGTAAATAAGTTGATGATATGCTTATAAATCAACAATTGAAAAGAAAAAAAATCTCTAATTTTAATTGAAAATCAAATGTATCATAAAATCTCTCCAATCTTTTAAACTCTACAGATTTAGCATCCAAACTGCGTAATTTATGTAACTAAAAAATTTTAAATAATTTATTCATGCATTTTAATTACTCACTAAAACAAATACAAACCGTTGCTATACATCCTTTACATGCTAAACATGTCAAAATTTTATATACAAAAGTTATTAGTTGTTGGCATCAAATATTTCTATTCAGAATCATTAGTCTTCTTGTCCCCATACCTCATCCATTGTACCTTTTCGTGATGCATAGGAAAGAACCACATTTTTATGGTCGAAGACGAAAAGTACGGTATAAGCGAAGAAAGCGTCACGAATAGCGTGACAATCCAAAAGGAAGGAGTCGGAGCAAGAGTCTCGACAAAGACTTTGTAAGCATTTGTGGAAAAGCTTGGAGGCAATGATCCATATGCAAACATGAAGAAATACCAAAGAGCAATAGAACCCCAAATGGCAATATGTTGTACCAAGGTGAAGTATCGAACCGATAGCGCCATCTGTAGGTTTACAACCCAGACGACACATGTATACATGGTTTGTCCTAGCATGGCTTTTCCGGCGGTTTGTCCGTTATCGTCAAAGGCTTGAAGGCCTATTGCTTTTGTGCAGAAGAAGAAGATTATTATGGCGCTGATGAATCCGTTGAGCATCCAGCTTAGAATCCGGCGCCAACTGAATAGAACATTTTGCACACCTTCTTGGTATAAGAAGGGAAACTGCAACATTAAAGAGAAATAAGATGGAACGTGCATGTGTAGGCGTGCTTCAAAGATGAAAACATATTAGATGGTGAATAATAAGCTTACCTTGTGGCAGTACCGAGCAGATACATCTTGGTCGAAGACCCCGAGGGCAATGGCGGGTAGTGAGGAAAACAAGACACTATAGAAAGATAGAAACCAGTCATTGTATGCAGGCTGTCCAGAGAATGACGCATACACCTCATATAAGAATAGAGTGAAGCCAAATGTGATATTCTTGTAGAAAAAGTAACATATCTGCCACAACAACAAAGATATATTAGATTAGATAATCTATTGAATGCTGAGATCAAGTTTCAAAGGTCTTACCATTGTGGACATCCTCCGGTAACACCAATGCCCGTGTACAAGAAGTAATCTTTCTAAATATCGGAACTGCGCAATTGCAATATCACTAGACATAACGGCCTAGGGGAGAGAGAATAGAATAGAAAAAGTTAATAACAAAACAGGATATGGAATTGAAAATCAATAATAAAAAAGAATACTAAGTACCTGCATTCCTTCAACACCACTGATTCCAACACCTACATCAGCTTCTTGAAGCATTCCCACATCATTAGCGCCATCACCAATAGCTAATGTTGTTTTACCTGTTCCTTCTTTGACCAGTCTAGTAACCTTTAAGAGAGGTAGCAATAAAAATTAATTTAAAAAGCTATCCAGAACCATCTTCATAGCTAGCATATAAATAGTTAAAATGAAGAATAAAATCGGAAAAATAAAGGTATACACCAAAAGTTAGTATCCCCTTTATACGTAGGTATATAGATCAACCATAAAAAATAAGGACAAAATTTTCAAGTAGAGGGGGAAAACAAAGAAAGGGATTAAACATACCAGTGCCTTCTGCTTTGGTGAAGAGCGGCAGCAGATAACAGATGAACAGCGAGTTGCGAGCTCTAAAAACATGTTCTTTGTATTATCCTCTAGAGCATAAACAAGTGATTTTCCATCAATTATAAGAGCAAATGTTTGCTGAGAGGGCCCTTTAGATGCAGAAAGCAGTTTAGAACCTTCCGATATCTGATGATACACGCTTTCCCTTGACGCCTAAAATAAGAATCCACAAAACAATATTAGCACTCCAAAAAACCAAGTCACTTTATCACTGCATTTCTTGTCAAAGAATAAAGGCTTAAAATATTTTATTTTACGTTGATGATAGCCTTCTTGTCTCCATCCTTCTCCAATGCTTGAATATCTGGAATCTCCAAATGAATTATAATCTGTTTCATTCCTTGGCGAAGCAAGCGACAAGAAAAACTGCATTCGCATATTCATGTCAAACATCTTGAAAAGTAGTTCTCATGATGAAGCCATTGTAAAGAGAAAATGCAATTAAGTATAATATTATTATACCCGATGTTGATGGCAGTCTCCATTTTGTCCCCAGTCAAAACCCATATCTTAATTCCAGCCTGTGCAAGCTTGTCAATACACTCAGGAACCTAGCAAAACAATATAGTTAGTCATGATTTCAAGTCTTGATCCAACCGATACATTTTCTTTAGAGAAATTTTATTGTTACCCCGTTTTGGAGCTTGTCCTCTACAGCAGTGGCCCCAAGAAGGATTAGATTCTTCTCAATCTTATCTGATACTTCCTCAATCAACGATTCACGGTCTACGGTGACTGAATTCTTCACTTCGGAAAATTTATTGTCAAACTCATTATATTCTTCTTCATCGAGTTCACGGTAGGCCAGTATCAACGTTCTTAGACCTGCATCAGCATACTCATTCATATGTTCCAAAGTTTTCTCTTCAAATTCTCTCCCATTCTTGGCAAGCCTTTCAAACATGACACTGCATGAAAATTAAGGCAAGTTAATAGGTTAAATGGAAAGGTAAAAGTAAAACTCGAAAATACCGAAGGCTACATGTTATTTAGCCACTAACCTGTCAGCACCTTTAGAGAGTAGCAAAATTTTCCCTTCTTCATCTTTCACTATCACCGACATTCTCTTCCTTGAACTATTGAATTCTAAGACATTGAGAATCTTGTATGTCCTGGAAAATGCAATTAGTTACTACGTAGAAGATGTCAAAATCCCAAAATAATAAACAGAAAAGAATTTGGAAAAACAAAACTAACCTTTCAACTTCATTACCAGATACCGGATCCAACTCTTTCAACGATAAGCTATTTTGGGTCCTTTTATAGAATTTAAAACCAACTTCTCTTGCAGCAATCACAAATGCCGCTTCATCAGGAGATTCAGCCTCATATGAGACTCTTCCGGTATCTTCATCTACTTCAGGTATGGCAGTATGACAAACAGACAATAAACGGAAAAACTTCTGTATAACATCCGCACAAGGCTCATTAACCCAGTTTCCATTCATTATCCTTTCATCCACAAAGTTAAAACCTTTGATCGGTTCTTTTCGATCATGAGCTTCTCTGATATCTGATTCTGGTTCCGACCTATTAACTTGTTGATGTATTATAGGTGAATTATTACTTATATCACCAATGGCTTGCTCAACCTCAGTGACACCACGACCATAAGCTACCCCGGCAACCGAACATTTGATGAACTCCATCGAGTTGCAAGTCAAAGTTCCAGTTTTATCAGAAAGGATCGTGTCAATTTGGCCCAGTTCTTCATTCAAGTTTGAAGTACGGGCAAGAGCCGGTTTGTCCAGTTCTTCATAGTACATATTGATATCTTGATTAATGAAGATGCATTGAAGGACTTTGACCAATTCTATTGAGAAATACAAGGAGATCGGAATGAAGAAGTTATATAACATTAAGGCCGTCAAAAAATGAAATACAGAAGCTGCAGCAACTTTTCTAGGATCGAAGAAAATGGTGGAATCATCTGGTCTTAGATACCATCTTTTCATAACTCCGTTGTGTAAGTCGCGTTTAGTTACAATTCCAAAGAGAATAGAACCAACAAAAGCAATTATAAATAAAACACAAAATAAGAAGTAGATAATCCTATCCATCTTCTTCTCTATTTTGCTTCTTTTCGAAGGAGGGTCAGTGGCATTTTGAATAACCTTCGTGTCATGACCGGTAAAGATGACTGCTCCATATACATAGTCTGTGTTACGAAGTTTAGAGTCTCGTAGAAGAAGTTGTTGAGGAGAAAGGGGATACTTTTGTCCTTCAAACTCCATGCTCCCAACAAATGAGTACAAATTTGCATTTGGATCTTCACATTTGACGGAAGCTTTGAAATCACGGAATATAAAGTCCTCGTTTAAGGAAGAGGTTACTTCCAATCCTTGTTTTAGCTTCAAATTTGTTTCCCCATCCAAGTTCATAGTCTCAACATAGCACACTGCATCGTCATAACTCGATGAAAGCAATAGGAGATCAGCAGGGAAGAACTCATCCTTCTTTACCTTCACTATATTCCCCACCTTGAGATTCTTCCACTCCGTATATTCGAAATTTCCATCACCTTTGTGAAATATAACTCTTCTATTGTTCACCTCAATATCCTACAGAACTATGCAGTTAGCTAAGTAATGAAATGATAAAACCAGTCTAATTCCGTTCAAATCTATGAAGCACTAACAGAGACACCACACACAACAACAACAACAGAAATAATTTTAAAAAAAGTGAAAGTGATTGAATATAATCACATTGTCAATGTCATTTTCGTGTCGGAACCAAACACACTTTGATTCTGAAGTGTCATTTCTACATTCATATCTACATACATTTGACATTAAAAGAACAAAACTCACGACATGATAAAGTGATAGTTATCAGAATACACAACTACCTGCTTTTTCCGACGCCAATCTTCAACACCTTCTTTCACCATAGTTGCACCAGTGATAATACATAGAGGAAGAATAGCGCTAACCGCCGTATAAGGAGCAAGTTTAGTGAAAGCTAAGATACCAGTAACAAGGAAAAAGAAATTAGCTACCCTCCTAAACTGCTCAAACAAAGACTTAGGCAAGAAATTAGCAACTGTATATTTTGTTGACCTAACAGAATTATCAGCATAACCATTCCTAAAATCTGATTCAAAACTATCTGGTTCATTGCATAAAACAACCCTAGAAAACCCCTGTTTTCCAATCTGTGGATTTTCAGTCCTAAAGTTTGCTTTTTGACCAAATCTAAATGAATATATCTTGCTGAACTTAAGCTTCTTCATCTTCATGTTAAACCCTTAAATCTACTTTTATCCAATAATTGAAATAAACAAATCCAAAAAATAGGCAAAAAAAAAAAAACCTACCCAGATGATAAATTACTTCAAATTCTCAAAAAGCTACCTACTTGTTTAAAAAAGCACTTAACTTTAAAATCCACAGCAAACAAAAAAGTTATCACATACACAATAGGTTATAAAACGCGTTATGAAAAGTAAAGATTAAGAAGAATATATATAGAAAACTAGAAACAGTGTGAAAATTAAAGATAATCTAGAAAGTGAGACAATTTTATAATGGAGGTTTTCGTTGGAAAAGAGGAATATGAAGAATTTTGAAATTGACTACATAAAACCTGGCTGCTGAGCATTTTTATCAAAACGTGTTAACTGTAAATTTCCTAGAAATTGAATAGAAGAAGCAAAGATTGATTTTTTGTGAAGTAAAACAAAGTACTAGGAAGTAGGAACTGAAAAGTTTCATTTGAAAAAACAAAACAGAGAAAGATCTGGATTTTGAAGATAGAATTGTAGTAGTACTAAAAAAACCAAAAAAAGAAAGGAAAAAAAAACCATTGTGGAAATATTTTCGATATTAATGAACGACACGTTTTGTTTTTTATTACTCAATGACACTATTAACAAATGATATACAATATAATTTTTCTATAACGATATTTACTATTTAGTGTTCTATTTTTGAAAAGTTGTTTATATTTTTCTATAATATCAACTAATTACATTTTTATAGATTATAATATTTATTACTATATAATACAAATTATATTTTTTTAATTTATATAAAATTAATAAAGTAAAATATAATTTAAAATTTTACACCATCAATAAATTATAATAATTAAAATATACTACTTTAAAAAAATTAAAATTAAAATTCAACTATTATAAATAAATCATCGTTGTGATAAACTGGGGGAAAATAATATTTTTAATATTATTATGAAACAAAAAACAAAATAAATAACATTATGGAATTATATATCAATACATATTATAAAACAAAAAAACAAAATAAATAATTTTACCTTGGAGTCAATTTTAACCGTATAACTTTAAAGTCAACTTAAACCGAAGAATTTTATAAAGTATCATGCTGATAATTTGTTATGAAATTTATGAGAAACAATATAATAAAATAGTAGAAACGAAAGAAAGAAATAATATTGTATTGTTTTTATTATCATTATCAATACAATATGAGTTCTATTTATAAAATATATGTAATCAATAAATACTTACATGAAATCTCTTAATTGTTGAACTATAATAGGATAGAATAATATGAGACATGTGATGCATTAATCTTGTGTCTATGTATTTATGAGATTGATTTATTATATGTTGTATGCTACGATGTTTTATTTTAATGGTGAATATGATATTGTTATGAACCGTTATGAAGTTGGTATGAAGTTGGTATGACGTTGTGGTGATATAATTGATGTGATTCATGATGATGCTTTAGTGATGTGCATATTTTAAATATGTAATACATGTTATGTGGTGATTATGTGATAACTATGTGAATGATGATGCACTAGACTAGTTGTGGTTGAATTTACGTGATGTTGTTGTGCATCATGCATTCATTGCATTTTTTAATAGTAGTCCACTTGTGACGAGCCTCAATTCAATAATATAGATTGAGTGCGATTATGATGTGCTCTGGTTCCAAGAGAGAATCGGTCCTATGGTGAGGATCTTTGGAGGATAATGTGAAGGTAGAGAAAAATACAAGAAAGGGGGGTTGAATTGGGTTTTCAAAAAGTTTTTCTTTTATAGATTCTTCTCACAAACAATCGATGATAGACAAGCTAGAAGGAAAAATGACACAATCAGTTTATACAAATTCACCTTAGAAAAGGCTACTCTTGTCCATCCACCAATGTGATTTTCCCTTAGAAAAGGACTTAATCCACTAATCTTGAAAGATTACAACAACATCTAAGAGTTTACAAAAACACCTTATCCATCTCAAGTATACAGACTACAACTTAGTCACTTGAGGTAACAAATCTAAAAAGATTTATAATCAAACAGTATTTGCAATGGTGCTTCTTAAAAGCAAATATAACACTACAATGAAGAACAAATATTTACATACAAATATGAGCAACAACTCTTGTGTATATAACAATAATGATAACACAATAATGAGCAACAACTCTTGTGTTATAGAGAGTAGAAGTTAACACAAATATTAAGCAACAACTCTTTGTGTTTTGGATTTCTCTTGAATATTTTCTCTCTTTTTTTTCTTTGCACAATAGTTTTTCTTTCTTTCAATACTTCTTCTCTTTTCTAAATTCATATGTTTTTGTTATTTTCTAATGAAGTAGTCATCCCTTTATATAGACTGAGAATGAAGATCGTTGGATATCACAAACGTCCCTTTCATTTGCGGACTGCTATAACGATAGTGTGTGATCATGGGAGACAAGAGCATAACAAATCTTCAACTGTACACAACGTTCTTCACAAATAGCGTAATAGGTGTTGTACTATTGTACTGTATTCTTCTTGTGTTATTTTCTAATCTTTTCTTCTAATGAGATACTTCTGATCTGAAGTAGTGAATATGGTACCTAAGAGATCACATCTTTGTTCTTTTTTTCTTCTGATGGACTATTTTTTATGTGAAAAGATGTATATTCTAGAAGATGTTTCATTGTAATATATCTGAAGGTATCAAAGTCTTCAGAATTCGAACATTGTCTTCATACTTGAAGCAATAACTTATCTGACAATAAATCTTGATATCTGAGCTGGAAGCAAAAGCTTATCTGATGAAGCACATCTTAGATTTCTGAACTTGAAGCAACAACTTACACAAAAATTCTTTCTTTAGAAACCTATCTCAACTTCTAAGCTTGAAAGCAAACGCTTATCTAAGAAGCATATTGGTTTCCGATATGGAGTAATCACATATATTCTCTTCTAGCGAACATTCAACATTCTTCATAACTGCTGATGTTTCTTGAGAAGTAAATACAATAGTTATTTTGATGGTGCCAACGTATTTCTGACGATTCTTCAAATAACGGTCCTGAATCAATTAGAATGATTTATCTACACACTCAAGGAAACTATTAGAATACAAATTTTTTACATATAAAATATATGCATTATTATCATCAAAACTAGAGATTATATGCAGAATCAAATCTCGTTTTAACAATCTCTCTCTTTTTAATGATGATAAAACCATATATTTTGATGGAACAATTTTACAAGGTAATATCATAATGAATATCAAATTAAATTTAGAGAAACTCCCCCTGAGATAAGCAAGATTGTAACGCCCGTAATTTAATTAATTATTTAATTAAATTATTTTTAGATTATTTGTGAAGTTTTGTTATGATGATAGTTGATGTATCGTTGTTGTTGGATTTATTTATTCTATTAAGTTGTGGAATAATATTAGCATAATAATATTATTTGATGTGGACTTATTTTAAGGGTTAGAAGTAGTAGAAAGGGGGTGTAGGAGTTTTAAGTCTATTAAGACATAATGAGAATTATAGGGTTATTATATTAGTTTTTAGAAATAATATGGAAAAAGAAGTAGCGGTAAGAAGAGAAAGAAAATAAGGGTTGGAAGAGAACGTCAAAGTTACAGAAAAGAAGGAAAAGAGGCAGAACGGAATTCAACCAGAAAAGTTATAGAGCAACCTTCAATCCAAGGTAAGGGTGGGGCTCTGACTCTATAATAGGGTTTATGATGAGTAGTATGTGGGATTAGATGTGAAAAGTTGTCTTGTTTATGATTTGAATGTATATATTGTTGTATGATGAAGATCAGTGATTTAGAGATGAGTAATGATGCCCTAATATTGTATAATTGATGTAGAAACATAAGATTATTATAATTGAGGATTACATATGATTAGAGGATGTTTTTAGGGCCTAAGGCATGGAAATCGCAATGAAAACATAGTGAAATCACATAAAATATTCATGACAGAACAGTATGCGTCGACCTCAAAATCCATGCGTCGATACATGCAGGTTTTTGGACTCAGGATAAGTCGATACAAAGGAGAATACATCGATACATGCGGTGTTGCAGACTCAGTATGAGTCGATACAAAAGGAGTACGCGTCGACTTATGCAGGATTTTAACCCAGTACGCGTCGACTCAAAATGTTATGCGTCGACTCATGTAGTCTAATTTTTGGCATATTTGTTTCCGAAGGTTGTAACTTGAGTTTCCGGACTCCGTTTGAGGTGTCGTTCGAAGCGTTGGATAACTAACGCAATGAACTTCATTCTTAAGGATTAAAATGAAGTATAAGAAGAATAATCCTAGTAACCCAAATTAGGATTAGAGTTAGCTTCCCGCGTTAATCGCTGTGATGATTTTGTGAAGTATGATGAGGATAAGACGATTATAGATTATTGTTTGGTTTATAACAGTAAGATTAAGGATGAGAATGATGTAGTATTACAGAATAGTAATATGTAGAGGTTTGGTCATTTAGAGGTAAGCCTTAGATGATTAATTAATTATAGGCAATATCATGTTGTAGGCCTATGGCCAACATTGAGGGATTGTCGATCTATCGTTGTGGCTGAGTTGCTGTAAAATTATGTTGATAAGTTACGTTGATGAAATTATGTTGATGAATTATGCAATGAATTATGTTGATGAATTATGCGATGAATTATGTTGATGAATTATGTTGATGAATGATGTTGAGATGCCTCTAAAATTGGCAGCTATTAAGATGTAGGCTTCTGGCCAACGATGATGTTGTGTTGAGATGTTGTTAGTTATGGTTGTTGTTATTACATTCATGATTGTGTCGCATACATTTCATTTCAAGATGGAGCTGATGCTCGTTAAGATGGCCTGTATTGGCGAATATTAAGATGAAGGCTTATGCCATGTTGATGTCTCTATTTATTGGAAATTATTTTGAGATGGGAGTTCTGCTCCAATGGTAGCACATGCATTTGCATAGTATTGAGTCACATTGTATGA